CCAGTTGGGTCATTCTTCTTTGTAATGCGAGGTTGGTCTTCGCCATCTCCTTCATTTGCTCTTGGAAAGCGGAGTTGTTCTTTGCCATTTTCTCCATCTTGCTTTGTGTAAATTCAAGACTTTCACGAAGCTCCTCGTAGCTTCGCTGCATGTCTTTTGCTCGCTAATTAGGCAATTGGTGTTTGCTTCGATTCTTAGTAGTACCTCTCATATAGCTGCAAGTGCAGGATCTTGTACGTGCTTGGTACTTGCTGCACTCATGTGGCCTTGTGTAAGTCCGACATGCTTGCTTGATTTTCAGTTTGTCGTTTCGTTTCTGGAGAACATGGAGAACGACGAGAACCATCCTTGCTTGGACTTTTGTAACCGTCTCTCTTTCGTCTTGTCCCGCTTTGCTCTTCCTTTCCTGTCATATTGTTTGAGATAAAGAAACTTTCGCGTTTAACCCCTCGAGTTACGGAGCTTAGAAAACTCGTCTTCTCGTTTCAACCGCTCCGACCCAGTCCATGATATGTTAGTTTTAATCACATGCATGCCTTCGACAACTTTAAAAGTAAGTCCACTAGTCAAGAAGTCTCGTGTAAATTTATTGACAATCGTAAGTTTTGGAGAAGTCCCTTGAACAAAGTGAATACCACGCGTTTCGAACTTATCAACTTAATGATTGGTTTAGTGAATATTAGTCATTTATTAAGCCCTTTTGATGGGCCGAAAGAAGCTGCTTTAGCTTTTGTTTCTTTCGATAACAAGATAACAATCAATCTAAACAACATGAAGAGAGCTTAATTTGAAATTCTTTTCACAAGCTGATTTGTGGGGTTGGAGGTCCGATGAGGTGATAATCGAATTAGCTTGCACCCGTCACTGAGAGCAATAAGCATTAAACATCTAATTGGCAGAGCCAGCTGAAATATTTACCGTATTTCTGGTATTTTTCATGACTGTTACGATTTCCGGATATTCGATCTTGATAATTTTGTTGCTAAAAGCTTTACTTTAACAACTGTGGTTTTGAAATAGCTGGAAACGAATAACTTTCGCCTGCAACAAACCTTTTCAAGGAATCTGATTCCTGCTAGCCATTTGGAGATTGATTAACGAAGATAACTAAGGTAAACAACCATGTTCAATTAACTTATAATGCTTATTTGACAAATGTTCGATACATCAAGAAAATCGTCTAAGAACTAGCTCCTAATTTACGGCTTTGAAGCATACTGATCTAAACACAGATCTTACAATAACAATATAAATTCGAATTTCATGTACTATTTTCTGGGTTAGCTGAAGATTGCAATATTTTTTTATAGACGTTTTGGGTGAAATAACAGGTGTTGATTTCAGTGCAAACAAACAGTATGTTGATTGCAGCCACATGCTAAGGTCCGTCCACACTACGCTGGAGAAATTTGGAAACGGCGTTTTCACTCTGAAAACGCATGAAATGTTTTCGGTCCACACTACGCCGAAGGATTTTGAAAACGCAACATTCGCCAGTCATTTTGGATTTGTTTTTTAGGAAAACTCGGGAAGGGAAAATGATCACATGATTATCATGACGCCATCTTTGTTGAAAAGCTCCGTTTTCAAAATGTTTTCCCTCGAAACCGTCTAAAACGCAAAGCCGGCGTTTTCAAATCCCGGCCAGTTTGAAGACCGTTTTCGAAAAGTTCCGTTTTCGTGACGGATTAGCGTAGACAGTCGGCCCAACCGTAGTAATAAAGCTGAGTTTTCAATTTCCTCCTGTGTAGTGTGGGCGGGGCCTAGGAAAGAATGATAGATCAAATAATTGTTGTACTCAGAACAGCTAAAACTACCTAACTTATTAATGGTCTCCTCCCCCGGCCGCTGTTGCTCGGTCCAGTCCTTGGCAAAGCAGTGAACATTTCATGACAGGCAGCATGAAACAGGAGTGCTAAAATTGTGGCCAGCCGTCCTGAGCTCGGCTTATTCAACGTTACATAAAACGGAGCTAGTGACAGCACAAAATCATTCGTAATCAATCCGTGCTATAGAGCGCTGAGCTAAGGAGAAAATTACAGGGGCGGCCCAGCAGCGCTTGTGCGGATGTGTGCCAACAGGGGGAGCGCTGACTCAGTACAACCTGTAACACACCCATGAACCTTTCTTCAAGCGCAGTTCCTGCTTAAGGCGCCGTCCACACTAAGCCGGAGGAATTTTGAAAACGGAGTTTTCACTCTGAAAACGCATCAAATGTTTTCCGTCCACACTACGCCAGAGCAATTTTAAAACGGCAAAACCACCTGGCATTTTGGATTTGTGTTTGAGGAAAAGTAGGTCAGGGAAATCACGTGATTAACGTTACGCAATCGTTTTCGAAAAGCTCCATTTTCGTGACGGATTAGAGTGGACGTAGAAGTAAAGCTGAGTTTTCAAATTTCACCGGCGTAGTGTGGACGCTGCCTAAGTCACTATACATTGTAATGAAAGATCTAAGTGATATACGGGAGTGCACGAAACACAGCTCTCACATAGATATAGACCTCCAGGAACAAAATGTGCTCATCTTGGGTCTAGGCCTCCCGCTGGCGTTCGTCTACGAATTAACGGCCGCTATGAACCTCAGAAAAGAGCGTGGGGCTGCATTGTAATGTCTCTTTCAAAATTTTCGGCATCCTTTTTATCAAGTACCCACTGCTCACAAGGATCCGCAATTCCTGCAGTTATTACCACATATATAAATTAAGAATCATTGACTGGCCTCCGATAAAATACTGCTAGATTACTTTAGTTCTGCAAAGCACACTTGGTACGAAACCGCCAAGCTCCAAGCACAAGTAACTGTGTAGAAAGCATGCGAATTGACAAAAGGCATAGAAAACTTTCAGACTTGTGAGGTAGAACATTTGTGTGGTATTCCAGAGCTGTGGCTTCAATTTAAAAAAAGAAGGCTTTATCTCTTTCCAGCGAAGCTTTTCTGTTTGTCACCATAACAAACTGCTCCGTCACGAGTATCCACTCACGAGATTTTTGTACTACCCTCACGGATTGCAAGCTTGCTTTTATAAATAATGTACTTAGACAATCTTAAGTCGGAGACTACAGAAGAAGCCTACCAACACATCAAAACAAGTAATCGCATTGTCCGTGGAGTTGGGTTAACATCTTCAAATAAACATGTGGGAAGATTATCTCGAAGAGTATAAGTCTTTTTCAACTGAGGCATCTGTGAGATATCTTTAGAAGCACAGCTCATTTTTCGTGTATAACTGAACTAGTATCGCGTGAGTGAATGTCTAAAATAACAAATAACTTGTGTGTGTGCTTTTGTAAGTTCGCGTGTGCATAGGAAAAAGTCTTGTTTCTCCGATAAGGAACCGATATTGAAGACAAATGCTGTTCCCTTTTATATAAAAAACTGTTTTTTTACATAAAGGAAGTGTAGGTATTCGCTGTGGAGATTGATCGAAAACCCGCTTCCAAAAATGAAAGAAACATTGCTTCAGAGATGGCTGTCATAGAAAGTAGACAAAGAAAAATCTCTTGTGAGACTGGAATGAAACTCCATGTATGCTGAACAGATTTCTTGCGGCTAAATTAATATTGCCAGTCAGTGAGTGATCGATGAGGTGGCGGTTTCTTTTTTCTGTGGTCCGCAGTTGGTTTTTGTATAACAAAATAATCTCTACCCGAGAAAGCCATTTACCTCAGAATCAAGGATTATTTACTTCGCTAGGTTTTATCAGCTATCTTCCTGGCAGCTGATATGTGATCATATCTTGTTGGCATGGCAGAGAAAACTCACTTTTCCTTCATAAATCTTTTTAAAATAAAACTCGAGATTCGTAAAA